ATTTCATCCATTCCCCCCACCATGTCCCCTCTGGTAACTATCAGTTTGTTCTCTGTATTTAAGAGTCTGGGTTTTTGTTTGTTTGTCTCTCTCTTTTTTTTTTTTTTTTGTATTTGTTTTGTTTCTTAAATTCCACATAAAAGTGAAATTATGTGATATTTGTCCTTCTCAGAGTGACTTATTTCACTTAAATTTACACCCTCCAGGTGCATCCACACTGTTGTGAATAGAAAGATCTCACTCATTTTTATGGCTGAGTAATAGTCCATTATAGATAGGTAGGTAGGTAGGTAGGTAGATAGATAGATAGATAGATAGATAAATAGATGATAGAGATAGAAATCCATTCATCTATGAATGGATCCTTCTCTTTCTTGGCCATTGTAAATAGTTCTGCAATAAAGATAGAGGTACATATATCTTTTCAAATTAGTGTTTTCATTTTCTTTGAGTAAATACCCACTAGTGGAATTACTGGATAATATGACAATTCTATTTTTAATTTTTTGAGAAATCTCCATACTGTTACCCATAGTTGTTGCACCAGTGTACGTTCCCACCAACAGTGTGAAAAAGGGTTCCTTTTTCTCCACATCCTTGCCAACAAGGTGAGAAGTACCATGGAAAAACTAGAGTAGAGTAAGGGAGTATAAGAAGCACTGGGGGAAATATTTTGTTTGTAAAGGCAATTCAGGATAGGCCTCATTATTAGACGTAATTAGACAAAAATTAATCATGTTTTTAAAAACAGAACACTTTTACCTTTTGAGATTCTCTAAAATAATTTTTTACGTTGTTCATTTATTTTAAGACAGTGAAAGTGAGTGTGTGCAAGCAAAGGAGAGGCAGAGAGAATCCCAAGCAGGCTCTGCACTGAAAGCACAGAGTCCCATGCAGGGCTCCAACTCATGAACTGTGAAATCAAGACCTGAGCTGAAGTCTGTTGCTGAACTGACCAAGCCACCAAGAGACCCCTCTAAAATAATTTTCAAAGCCTCCAAATTAACTTTCTTTTTAAAAAAACTGAACTATTTATTGATTTTATAAGTTATTCTGCTCTCCAAAGAATCAACCCATCATTTTTACCATCTCTTATTTTTACTATATCAATATATTGATTCTGATTTTAAGTATCTTTTCTCCTTTTACTTTCTGTCCTTAGATCAGTTTTTTTGGTTCCTTTTTCTGGACTCTAATGCTAAAAGCTTTGTTGCTTTATTTTTATTACTTCTCATTTGATAATATGAGCTTTTAAGACTATGAATTTTTATCTGGATAATTTTGGTTATATCTAATAAATTTTGATAATGAATGTACTAATTATTTTTATTCTCTATTTTATAATTGCAATTTTAATTTTTTATTATACCCAAGAGTCACTTAGCTAGAGTTTCTTTAATTGTGTTTATCCTTTAGTTATTAATTTCTGGTTTATTGTATTATGGTCAGCAAAAGAGTTCTAGATAATTTTCTGTTTTGTTCTTATTGAACTTTTGCTCATTATTCACTACATACACACTTTAGTAACTGATACCTGGAAACTTGAAAATAAAACACATTCTTATCAGTAAGAAGTAGATTTCTATAAACGGATATATACTACTATATATAAGACCATGTTTTTGTGAGTTTATTTCATATGTCCAATCAGTGGTTTGGCATTTATTAAATACTATGGTGTTTGTTTTAATGTGTATTCATTATTGATCAGTAGAAAGACTCTCCTTTACCTGTTTATAAAAAAAGAATTTAGCAATGAAATGGCAAGACAGCACGTGGAAATGATGTGTTAGCAGAACTCACACATACAAAAGAAGTAGACCAACACACACACACACACACACACACACACACAAAATAAAGGCAAAACTGAAAGAAGTTAAAAGCAACTAAACACTAAGAAATACAATAAGGGATACTGAAAAAGAAATAAAGTACGGTAGAAACTTTTTAAATGTTTAAAGTACTGGCGACAAAATAATTGAAATATGTACAATCAAAAAAGAGCCAAAATTCACACATGTAATTTGAGTTCTCAAGGAAAACAAAATCAGCTGTATGTAAATGAAAGCCCTCTATTAAGTCGGAGGCCCATACATGCCAAATTGATGAAGACAGTCCTGGATTATACCTGTTTACCCTGTGTCTTCTGTGGTTATTCTTCTATTCTCTGTCCAAAATGTATTGCTCCTAAAGATATATTACTAAATCATTCTATGTATAAAAGGAAAAGATAAGATGACTTCAGATTTCTCTGTAGCAACAATCAGTATCAGAATGTAATTCAGCAATATTTATAAAGTATTCAAGTTAAAAGATTTGAGCCTAAAAATTGATATCCAGCCATACTCTACCTCCATTATAAATGCTACAGACAAATAATTTTGAACACACAAAAAGTCTGGTAATACTGTTCTCATGAGATTTTCTTGAAGAAATTACTAAATATCTAACTTTAGTTAACTAGAACATGACTACAGAAATTCGGCCTAAACACCAAAAATGAACATTTAATATATTTACCTGAATAAGAGAAAAAATGTTGAGAAAGGAGGGTTAAAAATATGACATCTTTTCTATGATTTCTACATAAAATGCGAATTTAAAAATTTTAAAAGTAGAAGGGGAAGGAATTGAGACATAGGATAAGATTGCTATTTAATACAGTTTAAGAACTAAAAGGCAAGCAAAATATCGTTTAAAATAAATCAAGTAATGACAGTAGCATATTTAAGAACAAGAAAGGGAAACACTAAGAGTAAGCTATTATACTATTAACTAAAATTGAATGACAGAAGGAAAGAAGGGAAGAGAGAGGGAAATTAGAAAACTGCCTAACTATATAAGAATTGCAAAAACAAACAATAAATAAAACGGCCCATAAAGTAAAAGATTTTTAAGAAAAAACATAAAAAGAGAAAATATCACATGATGGAATGAAAACTCAATATATATGCTATAGAATTAAATGTATATGAGCTTACCTCACTTATTAAAGAAAAAATTCAGATTCAATCCTAATCCAAATGCCAACTCTAGGATGTTTATAAGAAACACACATAAGATAAAGTGATTTTTTAAGGTTAATAATAAAAGGATAGGCAACTGTAGACAAATATTAATATTCTTATCTTAATATTAAACTACATGTATTTTAACACAAAAATATTAAATGTGGCAAAAAGAATAATATAATCAATAAGGTCAATATGAATGATGTACCTCAATTACTAGAGAATACACCTTCCCTTTCAAATGCTTATAACGTATTGATAGTCATTGACTATCAATTTAGAAGGCTACAGAATATGATCACTAAGGTAGGTCTGACTTATATACAAAATCTGGCCAAGGGGAGAAAACATTAATCAATACTTTTACAATTTTACATACATGATATCTAGAATTGAATTTAAAAAGCAGACATGCCAATGGGGCACCTGGGTGGCTCAATCATTAAGCGTCCAACTTCGACTTAGGTCATGATCTCACAATTCACAAGTTCAAGACCACATCAGGCTCTGGGCTGACAGATCAGAGCCTAGAGCCTGCTTCAGATTCTGTGTCTCCCTCTCTCTCTGCCCCTCCGTACTCATGCTCTCTCTGTCTCTCTCAAAAATAAATTAAAATATATTTAAAAAATATAAAAACAGACATGCCAAAATACAGAACCCGATAACTTAAAAACAATATAAAACAATCAAATAGTAACAGATCCAAAGATGATTCAAATATTGCAGATATTAGACATGGGCTATAAATAACTATGAGTAATGTATTTGAGTATGGGTGAAAAATGAAGAATTCTACCATAGAATTTTTGATACAGAAAATCCAATAAAAAATTTGGAAATTAAAAATATTGTCATTGAGGGACGCCTGGGTGGCTCAGTCAGTTGAGTGTCCGACTTTGGCTCAGGCCATGATCTCATGGTTTGTGGGTTCAAGCCCCGCATCAGGCTCTGTGCTGACAGCTAGCTCAGAGCCTGGAGCCTGTTATAGATTCTGTGTCTCCCTCTCTCTCTGACCTGCCCCTGCTCATGCTCTCTCTCTCTCTCAGAAATGAATTTTAAAAAAAAAATTTAAAAAATAAAAATATTATCATTGAAAGTAAGAATTAATTGATGGATTTAAAACCAGACTAGACTTGGCAGAAATTAGGATTATTATAGTTTTAAGATGGAAACTACTTAAATATAACAAATGGAGAAAGTCTTTGGAGTCCCAGAAGTAGAAATTATGAAACAGAAGCAATACAGAATGCTAGCCAAGAATTTTCCAAAATTAATGGAAGACAGCATGCCAAACTTTTATAGAATTGTTTTTCTTTAAGCAGAAAAAACAAACAACTACAACAAAAATGGAAGGACGGAAGGAAGGGAGGGAGGAAGGAAGGAAGGAGGAGAAAGAATAAAGTTAGCCACAAGCTTTGAGAGATGGATTGACCATGACTGGGAGGAAGCATAAGAGAAATGTCCGAGATGCCATTAATATTCTATATCCTGATCCAGAGGTGGTTATGCAGGTATTTTCACTGTGTCAAAAAAAATCATAAATTTAAGATTTGTGGATTTTACAGTATGTATACTGTACTTCAATTTAAAAGTTTTAAAAAGTTTAAAAAGACGAGTTTCTCTTTCTTGTTTGACAACCTGTTCCTATCCCCCCCAGGATATTACCCCATATCCTGGTTGCCACTGAATCTCATAGAAGGAGGCAGAGTGAGTAACACTTCAGAGAAACAGGATGTATGCAACATTATATAGGATCGAAAAGTAAAATCTGTCCCTTAAATTCTCTAGGAGGAAGATGAATCATGCGATTAATATTAACATGGTGGAAGACAACTGTACTGCCAGGCTTTCTGTGCAAGAGACCCATACATTGTCATGAGCACCAGTGGGGCGTGACGGGAGTGGGGGAAGGTGGCAGGGGATGTGTTACAACCGAGCAAGTAGAGGTCTCATGTCGGAACAAAATGGCTGCTGTGTGGGACTTACTGTTTCCGGTGCGAGCTTCTGCAGGGGGTGGCAGGAGTGACTCCTAAAAATCAGAAGGCATCAATGGCGTCAGTCATACCTCAATAGTTACTAGTAAGAAAAGCACTAGTAAACACTAGGACTTACTAGTACAAAATCAGTTCCTCTCCAACAGAAATTATTGAGTATCTAAGGAAAAGGCAAAGATCCGAGGCCTCCTCTTGCCCTTCCACTGTAAAACCAAATAATTCCCCTTAGATTTCCAGATTTCAATATGAAAAGGGCGAGGAGTTTGGGTGCAACTATAAAAGGGTAAGCATTTACCTAAGACCTCTTCTGAGACTTTACCTAGGACTGAGCATTACCTAGAATTTAGCATTTACCTAAGATAGAACAGTCTTAAAGAGCTAAATTGGTACTAGTAAAGAATTGAACTTCGAATAGACTAAATATTTAGAGACACTGTATGAACAAGCATGCAAAAAAGATCAGATCATCATAAGAAGTAAAAATAACTACATATTTTTTGACACATTACCGCTTAGGGCATCAGTTTATGACCCTACTACATCAAAGAAACCAATTAAATAACATATATTATTTCATACCTTCTATAGTAACAAAAATCTAAAACAATGAAAATTCCAAACACTGGTAACATGATAACATTATTTTACTTATATACTGACTACAAAATAATTAGAACATAATTTGGCAATAAAATGCATAAATTACAAGCTGACTCATGATTTATAAGTAAATCTGTGGTAATGTTATTCTTAAGGAAATAGTTCATGAAAAGCCATTGCAGCATTATTTACAAAGAAAAATAATTAAGAGTAACTTAAATGGCCAATGACAAAAAATAACTTACTATGTTCTGGTATATCAACTCAGTGGAATATTACACAGCTTTATGTATAATTATTAAAAGCTGCACTGTTATATGGAATTACTTAAGAGAAAAACAAAATAAATGGAGTAAAAAGTGATATATTAAGTTTCCAAATATATAAGAATTCTGTATGCATTTGAATATAGTCTAGAATAACAATGAGAAAGAAACAGTATAACCATGGAGAGTGTGAACATAAAAGATGTTTTTAAAAGTATTTTTGCAATTCTAATATTATTTTGCAATTTTAAATTCAACATAAGAGTCAATCACCTTTATTAGAAATCAGATTCTGACTTTATTTCTGGGTTCCTCTAATTTGTTGCCGTCTTTCCAAGAACAATGAAGTAGAAAAGTTATGAGTCCTGGAGCCCCACTATTTGGATTTGATTCTGGGTTTCTCTACCTACTAGCCATGAAACCCAAGGCAAATTCCTTAATCTCTCTTTGCCACAATTTTTCATCTATAATGAGGATTATAGTAATATCAACCTAACAGTGTGGTGGAGAGGATTAGATGACTTTTATATTAACGTACTCTATATTTTCATATTAAAGTTCTTTAGAAACAGTCTCAGTAATTAGTAACCATTCTGAAGTAGTTAATTGTTGTAATTTTTTTTTATTTTTGTTGTGCTTTATTGGATGATGTGAACAATACATCATAGTTCCTGAACAAAGCATGTGGCAAATACTAAATGATTCTTGAATTAGCTTCTCAATCTAATAGAAGAGTCTCAGTACATCTGTCTTTTCGTTTTGATTCTTTTTGTTTGTTTGTAGCATAGTTAATGTGTATGATCTGTTGGTATTGAATGGGTAATTTTAGTAGCAAACAAATTGAGTGATTTAGAATTAGAATGTTCTTTCTTCTTAGCAGTGTCTTAAAAGCAAAATAAATACTGAGTCCATGTGGCTGACTGATGATGTTCAGACAAGAATGTTCAAGTATCTGAATTTCCCACTTTTCAACATATGTCGCAGTTGTCATGATGCAAACAGAACTGGTATGCTTTGCCTTCATTTACATTAGCCACATTTGCCAAACTGTCACAATCAGTGGTCTCTGGGTTTCCCACAGAGGCATTTAAGACCATAGTCAATCATTTCATGCTAAAACATGATATTGTTTAGGTTCCTTTGCTCTCCAATCCTCCTACAAGTGTACAGACATAGAATAATATGGAATTTTACCTAAAACAAGCTTTTATTCTTTTATTTCCAGTTTCTTTTCTTTTTGCCTGTTTTTCTCATATATATTCTCTTTTAGAGTCTGAGCATATGGATGGATGAGTTGTCTGTGTTGGTTTCTGCCATAGACACTGGATGAAATGGGACTCCATCAGTGAAGACTCAGAAACACAAACACTCCAATATCAGTGACTTTAAGCAGCAAGGCATATTTCGTATTCATGCTCATAGTCCATCCTGGTCTAGGTGAGGCTCTGCCTCATGCCATCCTCAGTCTGGAAGACAGGCTGACAGCAGCCATTATCTGGAGTCACCATATCAGGGAGAAAGACTGAGGGACAAGTCACATATCGGCTCTTAAAACTGTCTTCCAGAAATGCTCAATATCACTTCTTGCATTTCACTGTAAGGCAAGTCGTGTGGCCACAGCTAACTTCAATTTGTGAGAAATTGCCATTCTACGGATTTCATAGACAATCACAAATATTTGTGCGATAGTACTAAGGACTACTACAAAGAACTATGTAAACTGGAGATACTGTGATTCCTTATAGCTGCATACATAGGTAACAAAAGATCTGATCCCTTCTGGTATTTACCAAACATTTTAAGCTAATATTCATTCTTTCATTCAAAATTAATTTTTATGTAATTTTTCTTCCTTTTACATTCTTTCTTATTCAAGAAAAATCATTTTATGAGACGACAAATCTATGGCTCCTTCAGACATCTAAAAAAACCTATTTTCTACTCTTCATGGCAAAAGACTGTAGCACCAAATTATGTTTGCATGTTGGTTGGTTTGTTAGTATGGTGGATTGGTTTAAATTTCTTTAATGTTTATTTTTGAGAGAGAGGGAGAGAGAGAGAAAGAGAGAGAGAATGAGCAAGGGAAGGGCAGAGAGGGATGGAGACAGAAATAGAAGCAGGCTCTAGGCTCCGTGCTGTCAGCGAAAGTCGGACGCTTAACTCACTAAGCCACCCAGGTGCCCTATGTGTAGATTGGTTTAAAGGTTGATTATATTTGATTTATGTAATGCTCCAAATTTAGGAAACCATAAAATAATGAAATATGTGGTAAGAGATCTTTCTCTGGGAAGTCATAGGCATTTACTTAAGAGAGCTAAGTCAAGTCTAAAGGAAAATTTAGAGCTTTATTCAATTACATGGCCATTGGGATTAAAGTAATAAAAACTATCTGATTTGTTTGTTCTGATTTATCTGCATTAGAATTTTCCAGTAAGCCATGAAACTGTTGTGTTCAGCATTGAAAACTACTGAAATCGATTTTGTATTCAGGTGGTTTCCTCCAGTAGTCTGATTTTGAGCATTCTCATGTTTGTTTTGTTTCTGAGATGAAAAGAGAGTTTGACTCTACACATAAATAAAGAAAACAGTTATTATCTAACTGACAAATTATTAATTATTGGTTTATATTATCTCTATTGGAGCATTCTAAATGGAGGGAATATTGTTTAAGCACTACCATTTATTTATTTCTACTTTCACCTTACTTTTACAACTTTTTCCATGCCTGTAAGAACACTCTTCCCCAAAGATCTCAAATAAGTACTTGAATAAAACTACAATATAAGCATAGCTATAAAGAATGCATTTAATTTCAAGGGCTGCTATAAAGAATTTTACAAATGGCATGACAGGGTCCTTTTATTGTCCCCGATTTCATTACACAGCCTTCCTAACAACCCTCCTGAGAGCAAAGGTAGGATAGTGTCAATCCTTTTTATCAGTTCGCTTGGTTACAAAAGAAGAACATTATCCTGACATTATGGGCATTGTTCTACTTATTTGCAGTGTCCCTATTGTAACTTTCCCTGGAATATAGTGCCGAACACAGATGCAGTTTGGAAAGAACCTGCAAGTACTGTTGCCATCAATGGGATAAACTCAGATTTTGCCTAAGTAAGCTGAAAACAGAACAACTCATTAGCTAAAAAACAAATGTCTTCCTGAATCACCACCAGCGCCCAAACAAGTTAAGTGGTAAAGGAGAAGTTTCGCTTCTCCTCTTCTATAAAAGTTTCCCAACAAAAGCGCATCTGAACCAACTATTACTCAGATATCTGTCAAGGCTCATACAATTAGGTTCTAGAGAATTCCTTCCTTTTAAATCAGGATATACCAAATTGGAGTCTACAGATTTTGGAGTTCCACAAATGATGTGTTGAAATGTTTAATTTTGTACTTTTGTGAGGGATATCGGCTAAAGCAAAACAAAACAAAAAGCATGGGAAAATTGCACAGACAGTGCATGCTAGTCTAAGAATGCCAAATGCCATAAAGCAGTGGCATTGGTCATCAGTCTGTGCTCATGTTTTTGCTGACAACTGCATCTTAACAATAAGTGTTCATAATTAAGGAGAGTTTTGGGGCGCCTGGGTGGCTCAGTTGATTAAACGTCAGACTTCGGCTCAGGTCATGATCTCACAGCTCCTAGGTTCGAGCCCCATGTCGGGCTCTGTGCTGACAGCTCAGAGCCTGGATCCTGCTTCAGATTCTGTGTCTCCCTCTCTCTCTGCCCCTCCCCACATTGTGCTCTGTCTCTCTCTGTCCTCAAAAATGAATAAACGTTAAAAACACTTAAAAAAGTAATTAAGAAGAGTTTTGAAGAGTCTCGCAGATGATATACTATGAGAAACAAGGAAGATATAAAAGTGTACTCCATATGATTTCATTAATGTAAATTTCAGGAAGATGAAAACTAGCTTCAAAATAGTGCCTACATCTGTGGCCAACGGGTGGAAGGTAGACAGTAGTATTGATTGCAAAAGGATCTGAGGGAGTCTTTTGGAGAATCACGAATATTTTATATCTTGACTCATGAGGTCATTACTCAAGTGAATATAAAAATAAATAATATGTGTAAAATTCATACAACTTGAGAATTGATTCATATACTTTATTGTATGGATGTCTGTTGCACTTCAATAAAACATTTTTAAATATCGATATTATTA